TGGACACGCTTTCTTCATATATATATAAACGTAATTAAAGCTAAGATTTTGGCAAACCTACGACTGACAAAACTAATTTTCATCAGCTGGCGATTTGATTGACTGTGATTTGGGGTGACATAAGTACATTTGCAGTCGTAAGCAACTGAAAAATTAGCAGTTCTATGCTGTTGCACTAATTTGCCCATATAATAATAATAATAATAATAATAATAATAATAATAATAATAATAATAATAATAATAATAATAATAATAATAATAATAATAAAAAATAAATAAATAATAAAAAGTAAATGATAATAATGAATGAAGATCAAAATAGTGGCATTGAAGTAAAATCAGTTATTAAAACAAGATTTGGAGGGCTGGACTGTCATGAAGGTGTTGTATTATTGATATTCTAAATATTTGCCTTTATTATATCATTAATTGATTAGGTCTAGCTTAGCCTATATTATTGGTAACATTATATTATATTAGTTTTAAATTAGTAATTTATGCTTAACACTTGAGCGTTGACAAAGACTACAGGAGTAGCCAAAATATTCGCCTAATAAATTTTAGTGTTTCTAAAGTCAACATCTTGCGTATTTGAGTTTCTTTACTGTTACGTTATATTATATTCTACATATGTATAAAGATATTTTTTTTTTATATATATATATATATATATATATATATATATATATATATATGTATGTATGTATATATGTATTGTACTTCATCTCACTTCTGTTTAGTATAAATTGGTTTGTACTGTTGCTCTCATATCCCGAAAGGGGTCAATAGAGAAAGAAATAAATTAAATTAAATGAAAATACAAGCTTTCGATACAGTGAACAGAGTATTTTTAATAGACACCTTAATTAAGATGAACTTTGGTAATTCGGTTATACAATAGGTAAAGACGTATAAAAACACAAGTTGTATATTCACAAATAACGGATGGATTTTCGAAAGTTTTATCATGCATCAACGTATCAGACAGTGATGCACTATGTCGGCGCTCCTTTTTATAATAGTAGCCAAGGTATTGGCTACTGTATTAAGAGATGAATCCATCAAAGGTGTTCCGTCAGAAAATGAAATGTATAATAAAGTTAAAATTGCTCAATTTGCAGATGACACAGCCCTTTTTCTAAGAAATGAAGAGAGCATTTGTCATGCATAGATAAGATTGAGCGGTTTGGCAATGTTGCAGGCTTAAAGTTAAATTAAAAATTAAATCAATGCATTTTCATCTCCTATGAAGATACTGAGGATTTATATTGGGTATGATAAAGAGTACTGTTGTCAGAAAAATTTGAAGGAAAAAATTAATAAATTACACAGCATACTGAAATTGTGGGAAAAAGACATTTAATTTTTTTGGGGGAAAATCACAATTGTAACAGCTTTAGCACTCTCAAAAATTATGTACAACTGTAGCATACTAGATGTACCTGAAAAGGTCATCAATGAAGTAAAAAAAATAGTTTTTAATTTCATATGGGAAAATAGAAAATAAAAAATAAAAAAAGGAGGACTATATGTGGTGGATATGATGAGGGCGGTCGAAAAATGATCAACTTCAAATCACAAGTGCTGGCTTCCAAAGTCAAGTGGTATAATCGTGGTTACGATAATGAAAAATCAAGGTGGAAATTTTTACCTAAATTTTATCTTTAAAAAATAAGGTCCAATACAAATTACTTCCAATTTTTCGACAGTTCCACATAATATTAATTTACTACCTTTTTATTTATCAGTTTTAAAAGCTATAGCATTTGCCAATGCTTATCAATTTACACATACACACACTTGAATACTATATGAGGTTATTAACCAAGTATTATGGGGGTAACAAACAAGTGTATGCTAAAAGTAAGTCTTTATATTTTAGTAACTGGGTTAGATCAGATATTCTAAAAATAAAGATGTAATAGACACAGATACTGGCAATGTCATATCATCAGTTGTTTTAAAATCCAAATTAATATTCAAACACAATTGGATAATATATCAGATTGTACATGTGTAATTAATGCAGTCCCACTGAAGTGGAAACGTATATTGAAAGCAGAAAATTCCACCAACTCCTATGGTAACAATGAGTGTAAAAATAACAAAATATTGGAAATGACATCAAATCAAGTGTATAGAGTAATAAAAAATTCTAAATTTGTTACACCATTAGTGCAATGGGATAATATGGTTGACATTAAATTACCATGGGAAACAAGGTTTACCCATTTAAGATCCTGCAAGGCTTGGGAACTTGAATCGTAACTTGTATTTTTTAGGATAATCTTTGCTGCTCGGTTTTGAAGAACTTGTAATTTGTTAGTTAAAGTTTTATTTGTTCTACCCCACACAACATTACAGTAATCAAAATGTGGGGCTATTAAAGATTTGTACATCATATTTTGAAGGTGCTGGGGGATAATGTTACAGGACTTTTTCAAATAGTATAAGCCAGGCAGGACCTTATTTTTAACATGATCTGTTTGTTTCTCCCAAGATAAATTTTCGTCAATATACACACCTAGATGTTTACAGCTTTGCACCCTATTTAAACATTCACCATCAATGTTAATATTTAGATCTGTATCATTTAGATCATGTATATGAATGTATGTGTATATGTATATATATATATATATAAAATATATAATTATAAGGCCTAATATTTATTTAAAGGTAGAGGAAAACTTACTTGACTTATTTGTCAAGTCATAGTTATTAATCTAGACTATAGGCTTAGTGTTCTCGTAATTAACGGCCGTAGTATATGAAACAAGTGTATTGAACTCTGGAGTATCCTCCATACATCCAAGCCCAGTATAGTGATCCTAACTGAGACCTGGTTGAATCCATCTATTTACAACCATGAATCTTTCCCCCAGATTTTGGCTTTGAAGCATATAGAAAGGATCGCCCAGACAGGTTTGGAGGAATTGCAATCGGAATCAAATCTTGTCTAAATAGTAGACCAAGAGAGTTATCACATTATTGTGAAACATTATTTGTCCAACTTGACCTGAAGTTCAAACACTCAAAAATAAACGAGCGACATATTGTGTGTGCTGCAGACTGCCTCCCAAGTTCAGATGAAGAGTACATGGAACGCCTATGCAGTTCAATCCGTGGTGTTTGCACTCAAACCAAGAAATCAATTATGTGGGTAGGTGGAGACATCTCCATGATGAGTGAGACCCTCTTAGATCAAATTGTGTCTTTCCCAATAAGACTAGAAAACACTCTTGATCTGTTCTTCACTAATCAGCCATCATGCACCAACCAATGTCAACCCCTTCCCGGCATCAGTGATAATGAAATTGTCTACATCAATACTGACATCAAGCCCAAGCGTCGTAAACCAATAAGAAGAATATATCTTTCGAATAAGGCAGACTCAGACAATATTCATAAAGCCGGCCATGAAATGATGGAAGAATTCACAGCAAAATACAATTCTTCATACTCAGTAGCTGAAATGTGGATGACCATTGAATCTAGTCTCTGCCGTATCCTCGAAATCAGGATGCAGAAAATATGTAAAGAGTCGTACAATGACTACATCAATAATATCATATGCCCAGACCTGAAATCAAACCTAAAGTGCTTTTGGAGTCACGTATCTCGCAAGCATAACGACAATAACGGCGTCTTGCCCCTTCGTAGACCCAGATGTGCCATGTACAAAGGCAGCAGAGACAAAGTCAACATTCTCAACGATCATTTCTGCTCTGTTTTCAATAAAGGAGAGGACGCCTCTACCTTACCAGAAGTCTGCCTGATTCGATTCCCTGCAATCAATCGAATAATTGTATTACCAACTAGGGTTTCAAAGTTGTTGAAAAATCTGAACCCCAACAAGGCAGCAGGACCAGACAAGATACCAGCTTGACTTCTAAAAGAGCTTGCAGATTATTATTTTTGCAGATCTGAAAAACAGCTACAGTCGTACCAGTATTCAAGAAGGGCGACCAAATTTTGGCATCAATTTACAGGCCAATTTCAATGTCAACTGTTGCAAAATCATAGAACATAATATAGTCCACAGTTCAATCATGCACCATCTCACTGCACACAACATTCTGACAGATTGTCAACACGGCTTCCGTAAGTTTGGATCCTGCGAATCGCAGTTAATTATTACAGTTAACGACCTGGCTCAAAATCCAAACAAGAATCTAAAGACGTACTTTATGTGATACAGTTAAACTTCTCAAAGGCATTTGAGGCATGTTGTGGCAAAATGGCTAAGTTGTAGTAAAAATTAAAACATTTGGTTCTGATATTGCCACCCCATTCTACGGATACATGATTTAAAGTCAGCATATCCACCCCTGCCCTCACCATGAAGTGTAGGTACAACTTTTTTGGCACTTCTAATATCTGGAAATAGATGCTGACAGCCTGATAGCCAGTACCATTCTCACTTGGGAGACAGCCACAAGATAGCATGGAGATAGTACGGTATGACTCAAGACATAGTTATTAACCGTTTCGCATCGTGCGGGACGGTCCCGCCTTTCAAAGTTATTTTGCTTGAAACACACATTTTTGCAGAAACACATGCGTGATTATAAATTTGTCACGCATCAGCACAGGTCTTATGCGTGATAACGAATTATCACGAATTCAGGTGAAATGTATTTAAAATTAGAAGGAATTGGTTTTATATTAAAAATATAAAAACGGTCATGCAGTAACTTGAGTCATTAAAAAGTATTTACGTGAATACTTAATTCACTGACGCTTTACTAAAAATCGATCAGTGCGGCCTATGCATTTTTCGTTTGTTTAAGTAATGAAATGTTTACGGTACATTATAGTTTAGGCGCTCAAATTAAACGTAATGTACATTAAAACTCAAATTGTATGGCTCCATTAAAAACAAACACTCCTTGAAATCGTTTTAGATACTCAGATCGTCCTGGACAATTACTTGCCCTCCAACCCCCCCCCCCCAAAAGATCATGGTTAATTTGTTAAAAATCACATAAAATTAGCTTATTTTGCGAGTTTTCGACCCATACCGAACCTCTGCCTCTGGACCCTGGAGGGGGCCCGGCGGCCCCCATTTTAACCAGCCAACTGGTGTATTAACACATTTCAAATCAAATCTCTCAAGTTGGTTTCTATACAAGAAAATATTAGACCTACAGTATATTCACAAAAGAGATATATTCGAAAGGCCTAAATATCCCTTGTACATAATGCTAAAGAGGATTATTATCACGCTGTAGATGAGTTCTTGAATTGTAAATTTTTTTTTTCCATTAAGTGCTGTGTTTGCTTATGTTAGGCCTTATAACCATTACACTTTAAGGACCGTCGGAATCGCATCGGCCTCATGCATGGTTCACTTTAGGGGTATAAATTTTAATTGCAAGTAATTAGGGACGGCTTGACCCGTATACCTTTGTGTGGTGACGAAAATTTGCCCGACTTTAACCCCCAAAATTTTATAAATAGTTATTTTATATTTATTTTAAACATTTTCAAATCAATCTTAGGCTAATTATTAAATTTAAGGATTGGCAGTCAAAAACAGTTAAAAGTTAAAGTGTACATTGACAATACAAAAACAAGTGCATGGTGGATTTTTGTTTAAATTTAATAACATTAAAAAGACATAATTAGCCTAATTTGTATAATTTGTAGGTATCAGTATATAATTATTTTTAAAAAGTAATAAAATTGAGAAAAAGTCGTCCGGCCAAAGCCGGTGCGGTTCCGACGGCCCTGAATATGTGGCAGTCTATTTATCTGGATAGGCAACTTCCTACAAGGTAGATTTCAGCTAGTCGTGCTGGATGGAGAGTTATCACAACAATCAGGTGTATTATCCGGTGTGCCCCAGGGCACAGTTCTGGGCCCTCTCCTATTCTTGGTATACATCAACTAACTTTCATCCATGTTAATTCAATTTTAATAGGATAGAAAAACTATTATTACAAGTTTTAATATATATTTTGGGTGAAATCTGATGTTGATCTTTGAATGATGACCTTTTGACCTCCTGTGACATAATTAACGATGTACTGTAATTACATTGTCCTTTATACCAAATGATAGAAAATGTATTATTCTGCACTTTGATACTAAAAACAAAAAAATATATTCGAGATTAAAATTTGTGGGCATAAATGTTACCCCCACCCCATATCCCAATATTGAACAAAAAAAAGTACCCATCTTTGATGTTGGTTTTACATGCACTGACAACCAGAAATTGCTTGACTAACAAGGTGTTTTTTGAAGCTTATACTGTACATATAGGAAACAAACTGAAAAAAATAATTTCAGCTATAAGGTGGGGGGGGGGGTGCATGGGCAGTGTTCATAGCCACTGGACTATAACTTGTAGCCAAGTTGAATTGGGGCTGAGTTGCCTGGGGCGGAGTTGACCTCCTTCCAGATAGGCCTGCCCTAGACTCTGATCTAATCCATGGCACATATTTTAATTTATGAATAAAAGTATCATGTAGGCCTAGGCCTACGCTCTAATTAAAAGCGTTGGTTAATATTGATTTAATGTTACAAAACTAAAACTGATGATTATTGGATAGTGAAGAAACACTCAATATGGGCCATACTGTAAATTATTTTAATTAGTTGCACGGATGACATCAAAAACAGGAAAGTGGGTGCGCATAATCACCATAATACACTTGGGTCAATACCTGATTTTCAACAAAAACTGTGCAAAAAACAGCCTTTATTTTAAGTGTGTGGGTGAATTTCCAGGTTCAATTTATTCCCCCACGCAGGCCTTATTTTACAGTCGGGAATATGGGCAAGAAAAAAGTCCTTGATATGGGCTGGCCATACTGTAAAATATTTTAATTATGCAGTGGATACATCTAAACATAAGTTCTTGAATTGTAAATTCATAATTTTGCATTAATTATGTTATTATGTTTGTATAAATAAATTTAATGTATGTATTTTATTTTATTTCAGTAAATGTTCTGTAAAAGTCCAACCATTGCAAAATGCACTTTTGAAGATGTCAGCAAACCCGTAGACCAGTGGCTATAATGTTGCTATCTCGTTTTGTTCTCGCTAATTTTTGCTGAATGGTGAGTTAAAAAACTTGTTCTTATTATAAATTTCATGTCCATTGTAAAATGCTTTGTGGGATAACGTTTGAGTTGGTTCAACACTAAGAATGAACATTTTAATTTCAATATTACAACACAAAAACTGTTATGTTCCCTAATAAAATTATTTTAAAATAAATTAAAATAGATTATAAAAGTTTTCATAAAATAAGGTTTTAATTCAAAATTAATATAATTAACAGGATAATACAATAATAATAAAATTAATCAGAATAATAAAATTATTTCATTCATGTTATAAATGTAAATATATTAATATAATGTATTATTAAATTCCAAAAGACCATAATAATTTTGTAAGAACAAAATATTAGATAAAATAATAAGATAAAAATAAAGATTAAATATATATGCATATTTATTATATAATAAAAAAAACACATTGTAAAAATATTGAGTAGTAAATTGTATAATCTTAATAATATAAATATTTGTATAAAGAGAGTTGTTAATTGAATCCCGTCACAAGACCCACACACTTCAGACTGCTGTACACGGCTAAGTCTCATTATGAGGATTAGGGAGTGGAGCTGTTTCGGTCATGTGACCAAATCCTGTTACTGTGACAGAAATTAATCCCAGGACCCTGTGATTGGAAGGCAAGCATCTTAACTCCACTCCTATACTCAATAAGGTCTATTGTCTATGTCTTGGATAGGGTCAGTTCAACCATATCTAATATGATTAATAAAAAAAGTAAAAGAAAAGAAAACGGAAAAAAAAGAAAAAAGAAAGAAAAAGAAAAAAAATGATAGTCTAGAATGCCTCAAATGTTATTTTCGGGTGTCAGAACACAGAACATTTCGCGGGGGTGTTCCCCCGGACCCCCTAGGACAGTGTTGTCTTGATCGGCATAACTTTTGGCCCCCTTTCGGTCATCTCTGAATACTAATTAACATTGAGAATGAAAATAATACTGTAATATAATTTAAAGTTCAGGCTGTACCAGCTCAGTATGGGCAACACTCGCACAGAGATAATGTTAATGGTTTATGTGGTATTGAATTAATTATATATTGTAATTTTAACAATTCATTTGGGCAATCAAAAATGTAAATGTAGTATTAATTATTAATAACTGAATAGGTAACAAGAATTTAAATCTACAGATTAATGATATCAATGCAATAATATGCATACACAAATTAATAGATGATATATTTATTTGGTAACTCATTTTAATTTTACAAATTTTGTAGTATGAACCACCCCAATGACAATCCTACTACCGATTTTCAACATTATCTTTTTGCAATGGACTTAATTGCTGTATTCCTTTTTATTGATGTTAGTAACTTATTGTAGCTTTCCCCAATAAAAATTACATCTACTTTAATAATTATTCCCTCTGCAACTGGCTTATATTCCTTTTACTATTGCAGACTTAATTAATTGCTGTATCCTTTTCATTGATGTTAGTAACTTATTGTTTCTTTCCCCAATAAAGATTGTCTTAATTATTATTTCCTCTGCAACAGACTTATTAATTGCTGTATTGCTTTATTCCCCAATAACAATTATGTGTACTTATGTTTATTAATTTCAGTGAACCAGTGGTCTCATCCTGCTCAGCTCTATGGCTATAATGTTGTTGTTGAGATTGGCTTGCTAATAATTGAATGATTCTAGTATTTAAATATTCTTCGTATTTCATTTAGTATTGAAAAAAATAAATATTCATTGTATAATACTGAATAAATATTGGAAATAGTCTTCATTGTATTCAAAGTTGTTTGTCTTCTTTTGTATTGGAGCATCCAGTAATCGATGGGCAGCATGCAAAAAAAAAAAAGCGCCCTCTAATAGAAAAAGGCCCTAAATATGACTAAGTTTTTTGGCCACTTTAGTCTGTGGAGTTCTGGTAAAAATAGTGAAGAAAAGCGCCCTCAAATAGCCTTTTTGCCCTAAGTTCTTTAGGGTCTCTTAATAATTGTCAATGGAAGAGAAATGCACCCTCCGAAATCCAAGTATTAGAGGGCGCATTTTACCATCCTTGTAATAGAAATTGACAATTAAAGAGACCCTGAAAAACGTAGAAATAAAATGGCTAGAGAGGGCGCTTTCCAGCACCACAGGGAACCCCTTTAAACAAAAATTTAGAGACCCTGGAAATTTTGTTTTTCTATTAGAGGGCACTCTTCAGCACCACTTTAATAAAAATTGAGGGAAAATGGAAAACCTAGTCCTTTTTCTTTTAGAGGGCGCTTCTTTGTCTTACCTGCTTATCTAGTCTTCAGACATGACCAGCAAAGAAACATCAATACTGCGTATCCAGTCTTCAGACACGACCAGCAAAGAAACACATCAACACATTACTTATATTTTTTAATATAAAACCAAAATCATAATATACTATGAATTTATATAATTATACATAATTATGTTTCTCTTGTTCAATATTTTCCAATGATGCAAGCTGTTGATACTGCGATAACTTGTCATTAATACTAATTTGATAAATTCCTTCGATATTCCGATAAAAATACAATCGTTCTGTGTTTTCTTTCACCGTGATTAAAGTGTCTCAATATTCAGCAAGATGTTGAAATAAACTCCAGTATATCTTCTCTTCATTGTTTTGCAAAATATTTAGCATAATCAATCAAATTAAATTAACTAAAAGTTAAAATGCTTTACACAGCCTATATTAGAAAATGAATTTTAGTAGTTCTGGTTCCTCTTCCTAATAATAATGATCAATATTTCAGAATGATGAAAGTTGTCTTGGTCAAGTAACTTGTTATTAAAGATACAATAATTGTTTGTGTTCTTTCAACAGATTACTCTTTCGTACTCTTCCAACTGAATTTCAGTGTACTTGTCTTGCAACATTGGTCATGATCTGTTGCTGCATCTGCCAAAAAAACAAAATTTAATAAAGAATGAGAAACAGCAAAGAGAAAACAAGATCAGACTAATAAATTATAATTTGATAAGGTTTCAGTATGTTTTACTTGATACTTACAGTGCCATTGATTCTTTGATACATTGTCTTGCAGAAGAGATTTGTCTGTCCTCTGCAAACAAACAAATTACAGCTAATCACTGTATGCATAATACATGGTTTAAATTTAAAGAGAAATGAAATGAGACCAGGATTATACATAAAGAAAGAATACAAAACCAAAAGATGAACATAAGAAAGCAAATTCAATAGCGGCCGAATAAATTAATTGAAGAGACCAAATACTACAAGAGGAGCAAGAAAAGAGAAATAATAGAGAAGCAGGAAGTGAAAAATAATAAACCAAATGTGGGAAAATATAGACCAAATAGAATTGAACAAATCTGGAAAGAGGAGAATGAGGAACAGCATATAAAATGAGACATAGACAATAAAGTTGATGTTGTATCTATTTTATAGTTTTTTCGTTAGATTAAAAAAAATCCATGAAAATTAACTTAATTTTTGTTCTTTCCCTACTCGCAGAATTGATCAATAAATTCTCACGCTCATTCTGTCAACCATTTGCAAGCTGACACTAATATGTTTCAAAATTTATGCCAGGGAACTAAACTGTATAATTATAATTAATAATAATTAATATTAATTAATTGTTAATTATATAACAATGGCTGCTACCAAGCTTCAGGTTGTAACGTAATATAAAGAACTTAACGCACGAGAAGATAAGCAATTTTTAACCATGAGATGTAAAGCAAACTAAGACACCAACAACCAAATAAGATATAAATCATTCAGGAAAGGTGCTTAGTGCTCGGTTCTTAGGCGAAACAGAAAGACGTAATATGATTGGCATTATTAAAACATACAAATATATCACCAGATATAAACTATTAGGTGCCAAATGTACTTCCATTATTTAACAAAATTATATACATATAATTTATTATCTAATGTATTATTCAACGTTTTTTAATTATTCATATACAGTGCACCATCTAATTCGAGACCACTTTTCCAAAGACCCAAATAACAATCTTCAACCTTTTAACACGAAGCTAGCCCTCTAATTGGAGACCACCCCAAATTTTCATGTCCCAAGGGTGGTCTTGAACTGGAGGGCGAACTTCAATTTGCTTCCAACAATTATATACTATGAATACTTGGTGGAGCAATTTTCCTTATTTATAAATACTACAATGTTAAATAAATAATGACTATGAGTAAAATCATTATATTCAATGGGTTACAGCACTTCAATTATTTATAAATAATGTTTTGCTACTTTAAATACTACATGTATGCAAAAATTCATAACCAACAGGAGTTTGGAAATACAACTTTGCCTGTTGCAATCTTTCAATAAATTTGATGACACCAGGGTCAGAGAAGTACAGACGAACATCGCGGCCATTTCAAAGGGTCCTATTGCTTTAACGCATAGGAACCAGAAAAAAGACACAGAGAAATTAAGTTTTTTTAATTTTTTATACATATATTTATTTAGTTACTTGTCTATCCCTTTAGACCGCGAAATATATGAGTACTGTACAACACACTGTGCGATTATACTAAAACTGAGGATTGGAATGGATTATTCGAATTCAAATATGAAAGCAGAAAGACATGACGAAACGCAGATTAAAAAAAGAAATAATAAAGAGATTAGAAAAATGTTGTACAAGTGTGATTGGTGAATTAAATTGGTTTTGTTCAAAGGTGCCGAATTGATAAAATTGTAACTATTTTCTTAGCACATTAAGACCTACTTTATTAAATTCACATACAAGGAATCTTTTTTATATAGGCCTATTACTATCTTGATGTCTTATGATAACGCTTGATTAGGGTGGTAATGACGGTTGTGAGTGTTGCGGATGGGTTGCGTTGACGATTATTTTTTACTTGATAGGCCTATTGCTTTGTAAATTCACAATTTTTATGTTCTTTGTGACCTGTATTTGCTGTTTGAAGCTTTATACCTTGTTCAGTTTTATTTTCACCGACGATGCTGTTTATACTGGATTTTTTAGCCTCGACCCAAGTAAGCCCAACGACATAGCGGTTTGAGTGTTCAGCAACTTTAAATCACCCGCCAGTACACTCGTGACGTCACTCCGCGAAACACCACACATCAAGCCTAACTTCACGGCGGCCTCTTTGCTGTAAAGAAAATTGATACATCGGTTTAAAAATGATCAACAATGCTGTACTTCAACTGCTTTTCTTAATTACACTCTTTACTATCCGGTTTAAAATTGACCAGTTTGATTCGGATGGTTTTAATCTATTTAATATGGATTTTAATCAATTTATTGTAGAGTACAAAGCAGAAAAATCTTTCAAAGCGGTCAATTAAGTTGTATAGTATTTTTGTTAGACAAATATTTATAGTTAACACACGCTCTTCAAGGCTAAAATCCACGACTATGAAGACTAAAGCCCACAGTTCTATTCTACTTCTTGGACTTTACCTTACCGGTGATGTCCATCCATGCCCAGGCCCAAAAAATCGAAAAACCTAAATGTCCATGCATAGTTTGCTCTAAAGGTGTCATAAAAACTAGTCGTGCCATATCGTGTGATAAATGTAAAGGCTGGACACACATAACATGTATCAATTTTCCGTTAAAAAAAGTACACTAGGCCTACAACTGTCAACAATGTTTATTTTCACATCTGACGTCATCGATTCTAATTATACTGATACTGATAATCCATATCGGAACTTGTCACAGCCACTCATCCTAATAATGATCCCGATATTTTAGCAGATACCTTTAGATGGAAGGGCTGCACTGCTTGCACTTCTTCTCCCAACAATAGAGGAAATTCGTGCTATTGCAATTAAAACTAAATCCTCCGTATCGCAATCAGCGAATCATGGCTCGATACAGTAAATCTGTGAGCAACAAAGAAATTGGCATAGAAAACTATTCTGGTGTACAGATAATTTTCTAAAAATTAATAAAATTAAAAAAGAACCGAATGAACCACAAGGATAAACAATGTTGATGTGATTAGAACAGAATTGGTGTGTGTATTGTTTTTCAACTCACTTGAAACCATTTGTGGGGCTAGTTAACATGACCAAGAAGTTATTATTCTTGGAAACTTTTATGTTGATATCTCTAGTTATTTAAGTATAAACAAATTGGTTTCACAATTCTGTAAATTATTTAATCTTACTCAACTCAATAATGACCCAACAAATATTTCTACATCTACAATAATTTATCTTATTTTTTCATCTGACCCTAATAATATTAACCAATCTGGTGTTATTCCATAACGTGTCAGTGTTCACTTTATGACATATTGTAATATCTGATTTTAAAAATGCACTAATATATACTCAGCATGGGACAGGTTTCAAGTTAAGGTGTTAAGTGTCATCGATGATGTTGCTCTACTAAAGAAATTAGAATTAAGCAACGTTTCAAAACATGGTTCTCAAGTGAAAAGATGAGATCGTTAAACGAGATCGTTGTTTAGCTAAGTTTTAAAAAAAAACCCCCACAATCAACAGGTAGGCCTATTTACTGAATTTAAGAAATTAAGAAACACTATTAATTGTAAAATCAAAATAGCAAAGGAAAGTTATTTTTTCTGATAAATTTAATTAAAATAAGAATAAAGCCTAAAAAGCTATGGGATGTTTTTAAAAATGTAGGTAGGCCTATAGCAAAAGATAACAATAGGATAATACAGTATTACTTTGCAATGTGACAATCGAAAAATTATTTTTGACAAAGGTTCTATTACCGGCTATTTAATTCGTTTTTCGTTAATACTCCTGGTAACTTGGTAAACAAACTCCCTCCTTCGTCTGGTACCATTCAATATTATAATTAATTCTAAATTTAAATATTAACAAGGGTGTTGGTTTAAACATACCTGCAAAATTCCTCAAAATATGGACCGATGGCTATTATCCAACCACTGACCCATATTGTAATATTATGTATCTATTACCACCGGCTGTGTTCATTCTGATTGGGAATATGCAAACGTCATACCTATATACAAAAAGAAAATCCGATTACATGCAGAAAATTATAGACCCGTTTCAATTTTGAACGTGTCATGTATAAAACCAAATAATGAGCTGCTTAATCATCAAGTCTCTTCAACTAGTCGTGCTATAGCGTGTGATAAAAATGAAGGCTAGACACACACAAAATGTATCAATTTTCCGTTAAAAGAAGTATACTGAACTATGTAATGCGAAGAGTTTGTCTACTGTCAACAACGTTTATTTTCACATCTGCCATCAATGTTGACGTCATCGATTCTAATTATACTATTTTCTCTATGATTATACTGATACTGATAACATAGAGAAAATAGAACATTTTCTCTATGCTGATAATCAATCCATACCTGAACTGGTCACAACCACTCACCCTCCTAAAGATCCCGATGTTTTAACATCGGGATCTTTAGGAGGGTGTCTTCTCCCAAAAATTGAGGAAATTCGTGCTGTTGCAATGAAAAATAAATCTTTCGTAGTCGCAATCAGGGAAACATGGCTCAATTAATCTGTGAGAACAAAGAAATTTGGCATAGAAAACAATTCAATAGAAAGAAAATAAAGATAGAATTACGGAAACTACTAGAGGAGGAGTTTTCCTATATACGCAATGGTCTTACCTACATCAGGAGAGATGATCTTCATAGTGATGAACTCGAGTCTTTGTGGATTTACAATTAATTCCCGAATAAAGCCTATATTAATTGGTGTATGTTGCAAGCCATATAAGCAACATTGTTCTTCAATTCACTTGAGACCATCTGTGGGGGTAGTTTACATGATCAAGAAGTTATTATTCTTGAAGACTTTAAAATATCTCTAATAATTTAAGTAAAAACAAATTGGTTTCACAATTTTGTAAATTATTTAATCTTACTTAACTCAATAATGACACGTATTACTACATCTACAATAATTTATCTTAATTTTTCCATCTGACCCTAATAATATTAACCTATATGGTATTAATCCATATGGTGTCAGTGATCACATTAATAACATGTAGTAGAAAGAAAGTCAGTTATCAAATTAAAAGACATAATAAAATTAAGGTTCGTTCAATAAAAAATTACACCTCCGATATATTTATCTCTAAAACTAATGATATATATATTGGTCTGATATTTCAAAATGCACTAATAATACTCAGCATGGGACAGGTTTAAAGTTAAGGTGTTAAGTGTCGTCGATGATGTTGATAAAACCAACAAAAAAAGAAAAAGATAATAGAAAATAATAAAATATATATATATATATATATATATATATATATAAAATATATATATAAAATATATATATATATATATGAACAGCGGCTGTGTTCATTCTGATTGGAAATCTGCAAAGGTCATACCTATATACAGAAAGAAAAACCGATTACATTAAGAAAATTAGAGACCAGTTTAAATTTTATCAACATTTTCTAAAATTATTGAACGTGTCATGTATAACCGAATAATGTCTCTTCTTTATACATTCCCAGTCAGGTTTCAGAGCCTCTTTTTCTATACATTAACGTGTTTAATACATTTATCTGATTCTGTTAGAAATGGATGGGATAAAGGAGATATAACTGGAATGGCTGTTATTGATCTTCAGAAAGCCTTCGATACGGTAGACCATGAGATCAGGGCGTAGAGTGGTTCCCATCTGGGGTGGGGGTGGGGGTGCGAAAATTGTAAATGCGGAATTACAAAGGATCAGTGGCGAAGAGGCATGTGGCGAAGAGGCATGGGCCTCGAGTCAGGCGCTGGAGACCAAGTGGCCGTGAAGTGTCCCCGGTGGTGCGTTTTGTGGTGTATTTAAATTCTTTTTTTTTGGCACAGTTGAGTTCTTAATTTTGTATCGTGATTTGACAAAATAAGAGTAATATATTGTAAGATAATACTTTGTTCGTCTGTAACTTAATTTCTTGTTACACATTGTTTAATTTTTATTATGTTATATAAAACAAATCATTAAATAAAGTTGAAATCGTTCAATCAAAAGAAAAAACAAAATAAATGTTTGTACTGTTTTTCTAATTATGTGTTGCATGTGTTGTTATTATTGAAAAGATTACACAGAATTATGAAAGTAATTAAATAAACAATAATGTCGGTGTCATTTGATGAATTACTAAAATCATGATAACATTTAAAACCCATTAAATTACATTAGGCTGTTGCTTCGACTATACATTCCCCAGTATATGCTATGTTCTGTACTGTACGAAAAAGTGCTGTTTAAGGAATTTTTGTTGTTGCTCGGACAGAGTTTGAACGGACAGAGTTTGAGGCAAACGTCAATGAAATTTGACAATTCCAACGATTCAAAAATCTTTCTCATTAAGAGCTTTTATATCATAACAAAATTTTTCGTCAAAGTTTAAGAATAATAATTGCGTGATAACGTTTCTAGTGTTTATTGCACAGTTTTCTCCTGTGTAGATAACAGAGTCCGTTTTAATGTCGCAATCCACTGGCACAAAAAGTTTTATGCCCTAATAACGCGAATCATGAATTTTGCTCATAATCGTAAGCATGTGCGGTAGTAAAGAACTTTGTAGTTATTGAATTGTCGATGCGTGTAATGATAAAAAAAAAAATCACATTTTGGGCGAATTCGTCTAGTGGAGATACTAGGCTATTATGTTAAGGGCCATTGGTTTTACAAGTTTATCTTTCTGGATGTAGTCTTACCTCCACGGTAGATCTCAGATTGTTGATATTAAAGGGCTCAAATCCCATATGATGGAAGTACATGCGGAGTACCCAGGGATCTATGTCACCTTTTATTTCTCATATATGTCAACGACATGGAATTAGCCATCGGATGTGAATTGTTATATGATGATGATTCCGCTTTCTCAGTTTCAAATGTTAATTATATTGAGACTAAATTACGCAAAGAATTGCAATCTCTTAATCAATGGTTAATAGATAATAAGTTATCTCTACACTTAGTTAAGCCCGAATCAATTTTATTTGTTTCTAAAAAAAAATGTGTAAAAAAACAGTCCGAAATGAAAATTACCTGTGATGACAAAAGTATAAATGCGAAGTCATCAATCAAGTATCTTGGTCTTGACTTTGATCAAAATCTTTCAGGTTCTGCTACTGGAATGAACGTAATTATCAAAATTAATTGTACAGTAAATTTCTGTATAAAAACAAATATTTTCTTACCACTTATGCTCTTTCTCGGTGTCATTTCGATTATGGTACTCCTGTGTTAACAAATCCATTAAGAACATGACTTCAAACGTCACAAAATAAAGTGATTAGATGCATCTTGAACCTCGGACCACGTGCTCATTTTGGCACAAATGAATTTATCAAACCGAACTGGTTACCAATTTATCTTAGGAATCCAAAAAAAGAAAACATGATGTACAAAATCCTAAATAATATTGCTCCAACTTACCTGTTAAAATGGCAAGATACACACAAAATCACAATACTTGATTTTCAAGTGACAGCTTTTCACTATCAAATCCTATCACTGGAACTCACAACAGGTGCACCACCAAATTGCAGCCATTCAAATATGTAATTCACTTCCTTTCTGAGTTCAATGTAAAGATTATAAATAATGAAATGTTAAGATTAAGTGGTGTTTAATTATATTCGTTTTGTCTTTTAATTCATTATTGCATGATGTTTGATTACTTGTTTCTGATTCTGTATTGTATATTTCATATTTTGGACCACAATGGAAATAAGTTTGCCTTTTATGGTACTTTATTGTGTTTTATCCTTGAATGTTATTTTGTATTCATATTAATAAAGAAATAAAAAAATAAATAAAATTGTACCTTGTTTGATGAAGTTGTATCATTTTAAGTAGGCCTACTTCACCAACAATGTATGGTTTATAGATAAGATCGATGGACTTTATTATCTCATTTATTTTGAATACTCAGTATTGGTCTCGAGGTCCAGATAAAAAATAAGTTAAGGAAAATCACTTAAAGCATGATTACATATAAAATTATCTAATAAATGGGGCATGCCATCCCATAATTTATTCTCGCATTATAAGCTTTTTAATGAAGGGTCATTTACTGGAATTGACTTACTAATGCCAGAGATGAGTAAAAGAATTATTATTCTCTCTACTCTTGTCTTGTCTTATGCTAATTTACCAGATTAATATAGCATCAGTACGTTGGATTTGGGATGGCATGCCTCAAATATATCTAATATCCAAGTAAAAGAAATACAAATCAGTACAAGCAGGGACCAATTCCCTGGGGTACAAGTAAAACAACTTCTTCCATGAGTTCTTTTCACTGGTCATTGGGTCGACATGTTTTAAGTGTTGCTGCTTGTAGTCAGCGCAGGAACAAGCAACCGCACCATGCACCCATTTATACTCCTGGATGGAGAGAAGCAATGCAGACATTGACGTAGCCAGGATTTTGAAAGGGGAGTGGGGAGCCGAGGTACGTAATGCCGAGCGGGAGTGGCTTCGGGCGGGACTGTTGTCCCCTCCATACGCCAAGGACCACTGGTGGGCCCTGGGGGTAAAGACCGCTGGTGGGAGTTCAGAGGACGAAGACCCATCGTGGGAGGTAGTGCATTTTGGATGTTTCAGGACTGTTTTTAGGGTTTACAGTGAAGATTGTAATAGACATCATAAATAAAGGCCTAGCAAAAATTATAATAATTTATAATTATAATAATAATAACGGTACCAATAATTCCAAAGAGAGGTGGCCCAGAGGGACTTTGACAGATATAGGGTCAGTCCCATCATGGTTGTGGCTGAGGCGCGAAAATTTGAGAATGAATGTCTGTATCTGTATCATCACGTACAAACACCAACAAGCTGGTACCGGTAATTGTCGCGTACGTCGGTCAGGTTGAAGTGTGTGTAACAATTGAATGTTGTAATGAGCTTTAGTCGTTAATTTATGAATATTAATCGAGTCCAAAGCAGCTTTAAATGATTTTATATTAGGTGACATCCGAATATTCTCGCTCAAGCAGTTCCATTCCGGAATTGACCTTGGGTATATTGAATGACTGTATAGTCCCTCTATGGCCGGAAATGACACCTTCATATAGTGAAATTCATCATCATCACATTACCATAGTCAAAATTAAGCGCCAACAGCAACCATAGAGATCTAATTAATGTGTGATTTATTATAGAAAATTAAACTTTTTGTCTTTGATGTATATATTTTATATACTTAAAAGCCGCGAGTCTACAACCACCTCAGCCACACCATGGTTGGGGCTGAGGCGCAAACTTTTCAAGAAATAGTAGGCCTACCTCTAGATGGCCGGAAATGACACCTTTATATATTAAAATTCATCATCATAATATCGCCATTATATAGTCAAAATGAAGCGCCAAATATTTCTCATGAGAATATATCAAGGAATTTTCAGCAATCCTAGCGATCTAATTAATGTGTGATACATCATGAACCATAAAAATAAAACTTGAGAAAAACATTATCTTTGATGTATTTACTTTACATACTTCGAAGAAGTTAGCCCGCAACCTTGGTGGGCTGAGTTGAGAAAATTTTACTTATGGCCTGAAATGACACTTTTATGTTGTAAAATTCATCATCATCACATCACCAAGGCCTATAATAATCAAAATGAAGCGCCAACAAATTTCTCGTGACTTTTAGCAGGAATTTTCAGCAACCACCTGGTAACCCAGGACAACTATGGCCTAACTAGCTTACTAAAAGCTTTAACTACTATAATAATTAGGCCTATATAATGATTGGACAAATTACAATTGTTTTTCGCTTTAGAACAATATTTTTCACTATTTAATATTATTACCTATCTTTCATCATTATCACCATCATTATTGTCATTATTATTATTACTACTACTAGTCAGGGGCGGACTCAGGATTTGAAAGAGGGGGGGTTCATTTTCCCATAAACCCAAAAATGAAAGGGGGGTACGGGGGTCCTCACTCGGGAAAATTTTGATTCCTATGGCCGGAAATCAACATTTTTGAGTAGTTGGATACGTAGTCTTTCTTCCATAGATCGATGAACTGATAGGCCTGAAGAACACTTTCGTACATAAATTATTACGACGTCGAGCCAATTGAATGCTAGTTGTTCTAAGCCTATTTTGTCCGATCTGCTAACCTATGCCTAGGTAGGTTACATAGTTACCAACCTGAAATAATTGAAATACGTGATTTGAAACGCGGGCCGGCAGCCAGCAAAGCCCCCGCCGGGGTCCAGGATCGGGATGTTTAATTTGAGCACCCGAACTATGTACACAAACATTCATTACTCAAACAAACAAAAAATGAATAGGCTGCGGTGGTGAACCTTTCCTAACATTCAACACTCTTTCTACCCCTCCTGTTATACTCCTACACCCCTGATTCTTAATTTGTTTAAAGGGCCAACATTTATTTTGAGTTGGGCTCACGGGCCAAAGATAATATCTGAGTACCGGTAATTAAGCAACGTCGTTATGTGTTTGGTAATTTCAAATTCTACTTTTTGTTACAATATATGGTAACAAATTCTGTAACTTTAAACAAAGAATACGTACACAATTATCAATATTCTGTTCACATCCTAGTTTGTTAAAACAATAAGAAATTGCATTCGATGTATAATAAATGTTAGTAACATAAACATTAAAAATATATATAATACGTAAAACAAATTGACCTAATTTTCTGATAGATAAACAAATTAAACAACATTAATTAAATGAAATATATTTAATGATGTAGGCGTGTTTGCTACCATCAACCGTAACACATAATTTGAAATAAAAGTAGGTGTATCGTAGAAGAGAATCACTAATGAGCATTGACCTCAAAAGTACTGTAGAAGTACAGAAATAATACTTCCGCTACTTGCTGGAGTGTTTTTTGTGGATGCAGAGAAATATGGGTGTATAGAACGACTAGAAAATAGGTGTGATACCGAAATTCCAAAGAGGAAACATGTTATAAAGATATCCTGTTTTCTTTCCTTTATTTCTTATGTAAAACCGGATTTAAACTTTCAAAACGTTTCTACAATGTGTATTTAAGCTTCATCAATACTGTATTGCGAATGCAACAATAGTCAATTAGTCAATTGATTGAATAACGCTTTTGTATCATCGGCACACCTTTCTAGTGTAACCTTACAACGACTAGACAATAATTAATTGATATAGAGAAAATACAAAATAAAAAAAAATATGTTCTCTCTCTTATAAAGTATAATGAAAATAACCTGATGGAAAAAAAAATCAATAGGAAAACTAGGAGGAACAATGCAAAAATGGGGGAAATAGCCTGGGGAATAACTCTCTAGGTAGAAAAAAATCTGTGGGGAAAATTATCAGGTGACAAGTAGCCACCGTAGTATTGCTTCTGTAAAGTAAAGTCTCAAACCACCTCGATTTTGGGTATACTAAATTTTAAAATCTTCCAAGGCTTTTCCATATATAGCTAGAACTAACTTAATCTTTGGCGTTTTTTGATAGCAGATTATTTTCTTTTTTAGATTTCAGTGGGTTAACCGGACTCAAAGACAAGCTTGCGTACAAACCTAACATGCACATTCATCTTCTATACAATAGGAGCCATGTTCACACGCATGATCTTGTTAAAATTTAAAATCAAAATTTAAAAGTAGATAGACATTTTGAAAACAAGGACAAAAAAAATCCAATTTCTCCCATATTACAGAAACTTCTTTTTGGATGAAGTTAAAACTAATACAAAAACAAATTCTTTTGTATTTAAAATAATTTTTTTTAAATGAATTAACATTAGAAAATTAAAGATTAAATACATTAAAAATAACAAGCTTCTGTTCTTTTGACTTTTGATAGCGAGACGTTTGGTAACTATGAGGTCAGCATGCCTTTTGTAAGCCAGGACCCAATAGTATTTTGTTACGTTTCTTCACAGAGGGGGGTTCATCGTCCGGACCCCTTGAAAACCCCCCCCCTTGGATCCGATCCTGCTAGAAGTAGTAATATTATGCAAATCTTTATAAAAGCTAACAAAAGTGAACCATACATTATCACATTTCTGCATCTTAAAAGAGCCTGGTCTGGGATTTATGGATTTAAGACGAATTTATGATGATTGATTTTTTTTGTTAGGCCTAATGAGTTTCAGCGGTAAAGCCGTTATATAAACCCGAAAATATTTTTTTGCATTACCATTTATAGTGAAAAGTTGACTTTAATAAATATTCCACTGGGTTACTCAGGGACTCAGGGTGGGGGAGGTTTCCCCTGGATAACGTCCCTGAATGCAGATCATAAAGTGCAATTGCTCAAGGACACAAGCGAAATGCACCAAGGGATTGATACTACCACCTGGAGGCCAAACTTATGAAATCATGATCTGAAAACATTGCAATGCGTGAGAATGAATCTACTCCTACTCAAGTGTCTGAAAATACCAATAATTAAATTTAACTTTTAAGTTAAACCCTTTTTCCACAACATGCGCCTCATTTAAAGAACAAGGAACATCAACAGGACGCTGCTCATCTCGGGACATCAAAGCTTGTCTCTCAGTTGCCATAAGAATATCGCGCCTGTGGTGTTTATATAGAAGAAGATGCC